GAAATTCGCTGGTTATTTTCGACGACGTTCTTGCAAATCGAACGAAGCTTACAGAGATTTGTGATTATTTTGTAGGTGCTGCTCACCACTATAGTGCTTCTCTCATTTTCATCATACAGAACATGTTTATTCAAGATTGGGAGGACGAAGAAGACTGGTTCGAATCGTTTCCTGGCATTCCTGCGGCCTTGTCCTAATTGTACTGGAATGTAATTGGTTTCATCTCTTCTCTTCTTTGATTTCATCAGCGGTTCGAGAGCTCTACTCGCATCCGTGAGCAACTTTTTGCTCAATTTCGAGCCCTTTTTCAACTTTTATGAGCCTTTCGTTGAACCCTCCGCGCTAAGCCTACTGGCCCAGCGCGGCAAGGAATAGGGCACGGTGACGGTTGCGCCGCCGGCCCATCGGACCCACGACGCAGTTTTAACTCCCGGACATGACGACGCCTCTGGTTGCGCCACCGCGACTGCAGTTGCTGCAGGCTACTCAGGATCATGCCGCTGTCACTTCGTACGAAACCTCTCCCCCTCCCTCGCAAGAGATGGACGAGGACGCGGAGGACTTCAGCCCGTCCAATAATGCAAAGCGTTTTCGTTCGTACGACGATAGTCTTAAAGACGCAGACATGAGTCTCCAGGCTTCATGGGCTTCGCGAGAGCCGGACGCCACTGACTTGGAGGGACTTTGGGAAAAGGCTACAACGAGAACCCAGCGCCGAGCGCAACTCAAGGCATCGGGCCAACCCCTACCCACCACAAGCCGCAAGGAACGTGTAACTCTCGGCACCCATGTAATCAAGATACAGCCCACAGAAAGATGCGACGTATTGGGCTTAGACCCAGAAGAGCTGAAGACCGTTATCAGCTCCTTCGCCGGTGACCCCAAGTTGCTCAAACATCAGATACTGAGGGTGAGCAAACTCTCTAATACCATCGTCGTTACTACGTGCGACTCCACGCCGGCCACGCATCTCCTCCGTATGGGTGTGTTACCTTTGCGATCGAGACCACCACTCCCGGTGCGTACGCACCAAGTTCCCACGGACGGTATCTCCCGGGGAGTAATTCATGGCTGCAAACCCAACGAACCCACGGCTAAGCTTCTGGAGGCGCTGTACGCCGACGGAGTGGATGTCCTGACGGCCCGGCCTATGGGCTCCAAAGGTACAGTCCTCATCCACTTTGCATCTCCGCATCCGCCACGCGAAGTTATGTATTGGAGCTTCCCGAGAAGGGTGGAATGCTACGAACAGCGATCTCTCGTGTGCCCGCGCTGTCACCGCCCGGGACATAAAGCCACCAGCTGCCCGATTAACCAGCCGGTCTGCAGCAACTGCGGAAAACAACACGAGCAACCCCCGGAAGCCTGCCCGAATGGCGAGGCCAAGTACTGCGGTCATTGTAAACAGGATGGACACGTGGCTATTGATCCCTCTTGTCCCGCTCGAGCTGAATTCGCTCAGCGCGCGAAACAAAGGGAAGGAGCCAAACAAGAAAGACTGGCACGGAGCCGCTCGCGCAAGCGTAGGCAGCGATCTAAGCAACCCTCTGGCACCACTAACTCACGTCCCGGTTCCAAGAGTACTACCTCCCAGCTGCGCGGGTCGAGCAAGGTTCAGATCCAGGATCCGCTCCACTCCTACGCCGATATAACTGCGAGAGGTCTCAAGGGCGGTCGCAGCCCAAATGCGCGCCAGATGCTTGAGACACTCCAGGTCGAGCAAGACCGCGATCAAGCCGATTTCGATAGCACCATGAAACGTCTGGAACAACAACTGAAAGAAATTCAGCGTACAATGGAACAAGTCAAGTGCAAACACAATCAACGGCAGAAATCACGAGCAGATCGGCTCCGGGCGCTGCACTTTGAAGTTGAGGAAGAAGAGAGATTGGAAACCGAGCTCCTTGAGAAAAGCAAGCGACGCCAGTCCCTTTCACCTGGGCGGTGTCGTACACCATCTGGAAATACTTCATCCACACGACAGCAGGCAAGAAAGCAATCCCACGTATACCTGCACCCCAGCACCAGGCAGCAACCCAGAACTCTAACGAGCCGCCGGGATGGATACAACTCATACAGCAGCAACAGCAGCAAGCAGAGCAAATGAAACAAATACAGCAGATGCAGCAGCAAATACAAATGCAACAACAACAACAAACGCAGCAGTTCCTGTAACAGGTGACTCAAATGGTCGCACAACAGGTCGCTCAGATGTTCTCCCCCATACTTAGCCAACATGGACCCAGCCTGCACCAGCCGCAACCAACCTCCACTGAACAGCAGCTCGGCGCACCCACCGCCTGAGCGTCCTCCCGACCTCCTGCAGTGGAACTGCCGCTCGCTACGCAGGGACGCCGGAAGTATATCGTGAGTGGGGGGGGCTAAAGCCATGTTCCTTTTTGTCGTTTTTTGTATGATGTACTATTTTTTATTTATTTTTTTTTACTAAAAAGAATTTAAATATTACGATCTGAGTTTCGTTTGAGAGAAAACACTATCCTAGCGGGTTCGTTTTTGTTCCTTTCACTAGGTCCTGTGCGGTTTCTATTTTCTGCATGAGAACTTCACGATGACACTGCTCGAGAGGCTTTTCAGAACAGGCATCTGGTAGCGATAGGAAAGCGAGGAAACAAGCAGTGTGATTGAATTGACGCATTTACACAAACGGAACTCATGATGAGCTAAGAAGAACTGCGGAATATCTTACCTTGAGAATCTCCGCTTCCTAGGCATGTACGCTTTGGGGCTGGTAGGAAGAAGCTGGTGATCTTCTTTGGATGGCCAGACATTGCATGTAATGCTGGAGTCGAAGAGACACTGACTGACGCTGACTGCATACGCCTCTGACGGGTTGGACCCTCCCGATGTCGTTGGGAGGGTAGGATCAGCCGCGATGATCTTGGAGCTTGGTGGCGGGCACGTTGTTGAATGATGCTCTGACTCGTTGCTTCTCGTAAACTTCAACGTTTATCTAAACGCATTCAACTTGGACGACCACCTCTCTGGTTCCGAGTCTAAGACGAACTGCGCTAATTTCATTTCTCGCTTTTCGCATCACAACTCTAACTTTCCCTCGCTCTCGAAGGAAGAGTCAATAATTTCAAACCTGAAGATCATCACGTGCTCTCGACCGGACCAGTCGCCGGCAAGGACATCTTGAGACCTTCCTAAACGAAAACAACCGTCAAAGCTCGTCAAATATGACAGAAAGCGTCCGGTCCGAGGCGACAATCTGGCGCCACACATGTCTCGTCGCAGTATCCCCCACGCTACGACAACAGCAACACCAACAAAACTATAATCCCCGGGCTCTAGAGGCCCCCATACTAAGCCCCAGTTGGCCCCCGCGCGCCAATCCCCGGCCTTGCCACGGGCAGATCGGGTCCAGCTTGCTCTAAACCCTCGTAGCCGCCGTGCTGATGGACGACGGACATTGATTAAAAAAAAAAAAAAAAAAAGAAAGCGCGCTCCCGAAACTAATTGTACTTGTCTAGAATCTCTACGTGCGACAAGACTGTGCCTTGCTGCTCCGTGGCTTGCACCTAACATGGACGCACGTGATGCCTTCGTGACGAGCGCCTGGCTGGCGTTATATTGGTTATATCCCCGAACTATTCTTATGAGGGCAAGGGGGCTGAGCCCCCCTATAAGAATACTTGGGGGGGCTCTGGCCCCCCCTGCCCCCCCTCTTCCGGCGTTCCTGTCGCTACGTCAGAGCGCTGCCGAGCTCGTCGAGCTCTTCCGCTTAACCGGAAGGCCGGCGGCGCTTCTGCTGCAGGAGACACGGGGGATGAGTCCGGGCATCTCGGGCTTCAACGGATACTTCCAACCAACGATTGAACACGGACTAAGAGGCGGATCAAGTGACACATCTCAGACTATTGAAGCACAAGCTGCGGTGTTTGTGCGCAAGGGCCTCCCACAGGCACAAATAGATACGACGGCCTACTGCAACCCGTTCCAGGAGGTGGTGGCGGTTCGCTGCACGCTTGGACGTCACCGGGTCATCGTAACCTCCTGCTACGCGAGACCTGAGTCAAGCTGTTCCAGGCGCGGCCACGCTGGACAAGCCGGCTTCCAATGGCTGATGGACCTCCGGCAGCGCTACCCCCGTGACCGCCTGCTCGTGGCGGGCGATTTTAACGCGCACCACCCGGACTGGGGGTACTCGATTGCTAACGCCAGGGGCGCGCGGCTAAAGGAGGCAGCGGAGTTGGCGCACCTCACTCTGGCCAACGACCTCGACTACCCAACGCGCCACGGACTGCACGAGGGACAGCGAGACACCACCCCGGACCTGATTTGGGCAGACTCCCGACTGGTGACCGACTGGCGGTGCGGACCGGACCCTATGGGGTCCGACCACTTGTGGGATTCGACTTGCCTTACTGCACCACGAGGTCGATCCCACTCCGTAGCTCGGTGTTGAGGACTGCTACGGCCGGGTCCGTCCGGAGGCTGCCGTGGACTCCGAGGAGAGGATTCACTCCAAAACACAAAGATACTGAAGAAGCGGGTTTATTTGGCTCCTGTGCCACCACGCTGTGCCCGTCGGCCAAACTAATAAAAGAAAAGAACGGAAAAGGGTCGGCGCTGTCGCATTAGACAGATTCACCTGGAGGGGGCCCACGCTGCCGTATTAGGCAGATTCGTGGAAAGGGGAAAGCTCCAAAAAGAACGAGGCTCCGTGGCCCAGAGCCTTCCCCGGACGAGAGTCCGGGCCGCCGTTCGCGGCCGCTTATCTAGCCAGCGGAAAGTGGACGCGCCCGGGGTAGGTAGTGTGGCTTATCCCGCAGATGGGCCACGTCCACAATCATTTCCGAAGGGTGCGCCGGAGGCACTTTCACCCAAAAGGGCGAGGGAAGACACGCCCTCTTCGAAAAATGCGGCCTTACCCCCCTATCCGGGATGACGTCGCCATAACGCTCCCATGGCCTGCTTGTGCTAGGCCTAGATAGGGAGACGGGAAACTCGTGGTTCCCACACACTATCCCATCTGGATGGAGCTCTCAACCGGCGGCAAAGCAGGGCGCAGACGTTTAACTCAGGCTATCGACTGGGACGCCTTCCGAAAGGCGGTGGCCACGTGCGAAGACGCGGTTCCCGTAACCGCAAAATTACTGAAGGCAGCGCAAGCGGCCACGCGAAACCTGGAGGTGGAAGACCAAGACCCGGTTCCCGACAAACATCTAATCAACCTGTGGGAAGCACGCAAGCGGCTCCACAAGATATATCTTAACAACGGCAAACGATTCAAGGACCTAGTGCGTTTGCGCAACAAGACGGCACAGGCACGTAGATATGCCAAACGCCTGGCTCGCTCGAGGTGGCTTGACCACTGCGCGACGTTTGACGAACGAACTGGCACCCGCAAGCTATGGCGCGCCCACAGAGCCTTGACCGGCAAGACCAAGGCGCCCAACACTGCTCGCAACATCCAGCTAGCCACCGACCAAACTCCGGAGCAGTTTGAGGAAGCGGCCGCCAAGGCCTTTTTCCCACAACCTGCTAACGATCCGGACCTGTGCCTGTACGAACTGCAACCGCCGAGCGACACAGAACAAGACGCCCCGTTCACGATTCAAGAATTGACACTGGCCTTGGACTCTGTCAACGAGCGCAGCGCCCCTGGCAAGGATGGAATAACGTGGCGCATGCTGCGCAACCTGGACGAGCCGGAGAAACGAAAGCTCCTGAAAGAACTTAACGACGTCTGGGCGTCAGGAGTACTACCGGCCGACTGGAAATATTCAGTGGTGTACCCTATTCCGAAACCAGGAAAGAGTCCGGATCAAATACAGAACCTCCGACCAATCTCACTTACGTCTACGCTATGCAAGTTACTCGAACAGATGATCCTTACGCGACTCACTTATGTCTTGGAAGAAGCCAGGGACGACCCTTACTACGACGCTGCGCAGACTGGTTTTCGCCCCGGACTGTGCACCCACGACAGCCTACACCTCCTCCGAAACTTTGTGGGTAAGGGGCGCCGAGGAACCAACAAGGTACCCGGACTCCTGGTGGCAGTGGATCTCCAGAAAGCTTTTGACACCGTCGAGCATTCGGCAGTGATCGAGGAACTCGAAGAGAGTGGCGCAGGCACCCGCATAATCAATTTCGTGAAAAGCTTCCTCAAGAATCGTACCTTTGAGATCAGCTCGGGCGCCCAGCAACCCCGCATGTTCCAGAATTTCCGTGGAGTACCTCAAGGAGCCATCCTTTCGCCGACCCTTTTCAACTTGGTCATGAGAAAAATAGCAAGAGTGTTGCGCGCCGTCCCACACCTTCAGCACACAACTTATGCGGACGACATCACCCTTTGGGTGGACCCCCGAAACACAAAGCTCGACACTAAAGAAACGGTCGAAACCATGCAGACGGCCCTAGATGCCATTGACCAGTGCCTGCAAACTACGGGCATGCAACCTTCCCCAGAGAAGACAGCCTTCCTCATCGTCGGCGGTCTTGAGCACAACAGAGCTCAAATACACCTGACCCTGGCCGGCCAGTCCATTCAGCGCTCCCCCGAACGCTGGATTCGCATATTGGGAGTCCCACTGCACGAACAAGGAGGAGCGCAAGAGTGGATCAAGCAACTCAAACCCAAGTGGCGACAACAGCTCCAACTCATTAAGAGAATGGGCAACCGCCTCGGTGGCGCGGGCACGCGCACCATCCGCTTGCTCACTCAAGCAGTCCTGACCTCAAAAGCCTGCTATGGAGCCGCATGTTTCGTCCTGACCAAGGCGCATCTCAAACAGCTGGAAATATTGCATCGTGAATGCCTGCGTGCAATCACCGGTCTCCCAAGACACACTAAGACGGAAGAGCTGTATCGGTACTCGAATCTTCCGACTCTACAAGCCATCATTGAGACCCGCGTTGCCGGCCATCAGCGGCGCCGGACATCGACTAGAGCCGGTAAACGTCTTCTGGATTTACAGGGTTGGCGGCCTCCCGTAGGAGAGGCCCCGCCTCCGAAGGGCATGCCACCATGGGAGGACATTATGGTCAGAAACCCCAAGCCGCTAACTCGCAAACAACACCGCGAAGAACATTCAGAAGAAAGAGCTGCACTTGCTGCGCGGGCAGACCTCGTGGAGCACGCGGTCTTCACAGACGCCACATGGTGCCAAGAGACGAAGCGGGCCACACTCGCCTACGCTACTGGCCAGGACCGATATGCTCAGACACTTCAATACGACAGCGAACCTAGCACGAGCCGCCTCGAACTGGGTGCAATACACCTGGCACTATCTCGAATAAGAGAGACATTCGAGCCAGTGGACGTACCTACCCGTGTAACCATCTTCACGGATTGTAGGGAAGCCCTTGCCCGTCTGGGGAAAACTCCTCGCGAAGGGACGCTCTGCCAGCGAATCAAGAGTATGTGCTCGTATTTGAAAAACACCAAAGGTATTGAGGTGAGAGTGGACTGGGTCCCGGGACACGCGGGCGGCATCGGTAACGAGGCCGCACACGCGTGGGCGAGCGAGCAAAGGGAAGACCGCTCCAACCCAGGGATCTTCGTCCCCTTTGCGCCGCCGGACCCAGACCCCATAGAGAAGAAATCTGCGGCCCGACAAGAGGATCAGCGTCGGCTGCGAGGTCAAACACCCTACAACCCGGCACCGCTACCCAAGGGTTTACCCAGAGGGGCACAAGTGTTAATTCACAAGGCCCGCACCGGAGCTGCGCTCACCGAAGACATACTCGCTCGGTGGCGTAGCTACAAACCACGGAGGGGCCGCCCACCCGACCAAGTGCCACCGGAAGGGTCCGAGCCCGCTGCACTTGTCGTCTGCACTACATGCACCGCCGGCGTGAGCCCGACGATCCGACACTTACTCTGGGATTGTGCCGGCTTGCGAGAAAAAAGAGCCGAACACCTGGGGCCTCACATCGACACTTTAGAGGCCTGGATCACACCGGTTAACGAGGCACGGGCCAGGGAGACGCTGATCTCCCTATGGGAGTTCGCGCGCTCGACAGGAGTGCACCGCCGAATGTAAACTTTTCCTACCTATGTTCCCCTTCCCCCAATGAGGCCATGGCGCCACCCTTTTTGAAAATAAAGTTAATCATCATCATCATCATCATCATTCAAGATTCGTACTTTCGAACAATCAGGTTAAATTCCTCGGCCTTAATTATATTCCGTTCAATTAGGATTGCGGATCAACTCCAAGTGCTGTCCCGACAGCTCTTTGGGGATAAAAGGGAGTGCTGTTCTACCGCGTATATATTCAGACGCGTGTAGAACACCATTCAGTTACATTCTGATCGACCTATCGCAAACTTGTCCCGTTAATTTCCGTGTGTGACCTAAAAGTCTACAACATGTCCGTCTGACGATCGTAATGAACCGCGCATCACCAAGCACGCAAGATTCTTGCACCTTTTATCGAAAGCCAAATCGGCTGGGCAAAGAGAATCACTACTACGTCACACCAGGGAGGAGCATCTGAAAATAATTACGGAAATTTGTTTAAACCTGTGCGCCGGAAACCTGTCTCTCTCCGCAACTTTAAAAAGAAAGTGAGGAGATTTGCGCCCGTCGTACTCAGGCTGGAAAATCGAAGGAACACGCACAAGAACGTAAGAAAGACGTTGGTATTGCAGGGAGGTTTTCTATCCCTGATCCTTCCTGCTCGGTTAGGTCCCATATCAACGATTGGGGGAAGAGCCATCGCAAAGACTATATAGGAGTCTGAAAACGTGTCGTCTCATGCCTTACAGGGAGAACATTCCCGAGAAACGCTACACAAAATGTTACGTCCGTACAATTCGAATGATAGTAGCACTCAGTGTTGCAGGCGTTACCAAAAAAAAAGTAACGAAATACGTCACTCGTTACTTGCAAATACAAGGAACGCCTTACTCACCTACCTTTCCTGAAAATAAAAGGAACGCGTTACCGTTATCGTTACCAATTAAAAGTAACGCGCGTTACTTTTGCGTTACTTTTTTTTTTTTATTATGAATTAACACGTTTTACTCTTTTGAGGGTACAGGTATGCATAAACGCCATATTTTAGGAAACATTATGTTCATTCCACTGATCTCTATTATAGGGGGCTGGATAGCGCATAGTCGCTCTCCGAGCAGGGCGCAAGTGAAGCCACCGGAAGTTTGATGCTTATCCCAGAAGTCGGGCGTCTGCTGGGCTTCCTAGTGCATTCAGTCGATGCTTTGGTCCGTACTTTCCGGTGTCTTTGAGTGGGTTTAAATAATCACGTTCCGAATTAAATGCCGAAAATGAAGCATTTGAACTTGGGACATATACACACTTGATCAACTAGACTAGAATCTCAAAACGTTTGCATTGAATGGCTTCCCGTGATACTTCTCGGGTCTTCATGCGCTTTTACTGAGCAACAAGCAGGCTCTCTTGAGGTGACAAGCGAAAGTCCAGCGTCCTTGACGTTTTTCGAACCAGCACTCGGAAGGGTTACGAAGCCTACTTCCCGGGACAAGCCGCTTACTTCCGGTAGCTTCAGACCTGCTTGCTGAGTGCACCATCCAGCCCCTACAATAGAGATCAGTGGTTCATGCAGAAACTGAACATGATTACTTTTTTTTTGCGGTTTCACCTAAATACAAAAAAAACGCAAAGATGAAAAAGCAAATATTCACATAGCTCGGCGACAAAAACACGAAAAAAAATTAAAGTATAATTTTTTAAACCTTGGGAGGAAGGAGTAACGAGTAACTTAATTACGTTACCAGTTACTCTTTTGAACAAGTAACGACTACGTTACCGAAAAGTAGCGCGTTACCGGTAGCGCCGTTACTTGAACGCGTTACCGCCAACACTGGTAGCACTAACATCGACGATAATGAGGTTAAAGCGGCACCCATTGCAGAAGAACGGGCAACGCAGACGAGCGAAGAACAGCGTGGGGAGGATGACGATCTTTCCGTCGTATTCAATTACTTGAGCAAAACCTACAGGCAGAAAGGTCAATCGCTTGAGTCTACTGAAACAGGTGCTTACCTGGGTTCCGCCAACCCTGGAAATTTTGGTCGACGATAAACCTCTTCAAGGGTCCAACATTGTAGACTTGATTTTCTATTTAGTTTCACGTTGCCAGTTCCGTCTCATTTCGATCGCGTCGAGAGGTTATTCGTCAAACAAAACCTGCCAGTGACCATCGTCAATCCCGATCGGTTTAAACGAAAGACCGTCAAAGCGCGGGCGACCATTCGTCAAGGTGCGTCTTCTTCTTCGGTCGCATCACCGAAGCGCCTTCGTACTGCTTTCTCCGGAGCAGCAGCAGCGGACAGGGTCACCAACTCCGTCGCCGATCTCGTCATCGACGACAGCACCTACTCCTGCCGATCCCGTTTCTATACCGCGACTCGTACCTCAAGAACTCTCTCAAATGAATCCTGGTCGGATCATGCGACTCCGTGGGGTACGGACAATAGACGTTGTTCGATTGTTGAGACTCGATGAATTTCATGTTGCGAGCGGGGAATACCCATACCTTTCGGCAATCTCGTGTGGTGAAAGTTTTTGACAGTTAAGACCTCTCCAGGCTGAAACGGCTCGGAGCGTGGCGTCATAAAAGATCAACATAAATTGAAGTAAACATTCGTGTTGCATTTGGTCTGTCGCGCACGGATTCATCAAAAATGTATTTAATGTTTTTTGTTCCGAAACCTTTTTTTTTTTTTTTTTTTTACAGGCTTGGATAGACTATATTTGTCATAAATTACAAAAGAAACAATAAAACGCATTAATTTATCGGCCTCCATGCAGCGTCTGGAATCGCGCCCAGGCAGGCTGCCACAGCCCACTGACGAGAAAACCCGCAGCCCAGCACAGTCGGGCAACACTGATGTACACTCTCAAAACCAGAGACGCGTGCTGTAAATCGCTTCGTTCGAGACTGCCTGCTGGAAAGGTCTATACCAAGATTGTCCCAATATATACCAATATTGGGCACATACTGGGTAATATATACCAATATTGGGCATATACTGCGTAACGATTACCCCAATATTGGGTGCATACTGGGTAATATTTGCGATATGGTCCAGCTATACCAGATTGTCCCAATATTGTCAAGAATGACAAATGGTGAGGTGGCGAATAACTGAAGAAACTAAACGTTTAATGGGTCGAACTTGGGCCCAAAACAAAAAAGAGAAAGGCTAGCGCCGTAGACGTCGATGTCGGTGAAACAGCAGGATCGAGCGCTCGGGCGAGACGGGCCCCGGACTATATCATGCGCAACACTTTTTGTACCCGCGTTGGTTTCTGAAACATTCGGCGTAGAATGTTCGGCGCGTAGAACACCCGTAACTCGATCGGGCGACAAGGTTCTCGAACTTACGTTGCGAGAATGTCAAGTTGAAAAAAAAAATAAGAGTCCGCTCCCTGGAATCGAATCCCGAGCCCCCGCGCGCGATAGCCAAGCGCGGTAACCATTTGGCCACGCGCTCGCTTGGCAACGCGCACGGCAATATTTACCAATATTGGGAACATACTGAATTATATTGGACAACTATACCGTGATTATTCCAATATTTACCAATATTGGGCCCGCACTGGGTAATATTGGTAATACTGTCCAGGTATACAAAGAAATTGTCCCAATATTGGTAGTGCACATACTGGATAATATTGGAAATATGTTTCCAGCTATACCAGGTTATTCCAATATTTATCCCAAAATGCTGGATAATGTTGGACAGCTATAATAAGATTGTCCCAATATTTACCAATATAGGGGAGGAAAGACGACGAAGTTTAGAGATTGGAGGCCTTTCGCATCTGCTCCCTTAAAAACGGCATCTGCTTTTTTTTTCTTTTATTATTTTACGGGTGATACGCCGTGAAATTTAATTTCCGGCATCAAGCAGCAAGTCCCCGGTCCCGGCCCAGAATGGTACTTCACCAGTAGCCCCGGGCCGAGGACCCCAAGGATGTCTGAACAAGCTCCATCGCTGGCACCAGGGATCTCCGAGGGCGGGACACCCGGACCATCACATGCAAGTGCTCAGCAGCCAACTCCGAACGCAGTAGCCATGCCACCAGTTGTCATGGCTACCAGCACTATAAAAATCCCAACGAAGCGACGATGCCCGGACTTTGATAAAGATCCACTATCCGACGACGACCGAACCTCTACCTACACCGTTCACGGCACAGTCGCCCCATCGGAGGGAGGCAGTCAGGATCACATGCAAGACGTCGACCTGGACGATTACGAGAACCCTTTCACTGAAGTCCGATACAAGAAAAGCTGCCCTTCAGGGATGCCAGTAGTCTTCAAAACAGTCAACAGTCATTTTTTTTTTTCTGGCGCATCAACCCCAATGTTGTTGCCAGCGAAGTGATTGGCACCGCCAAAGAGAACCTTCTCTCGCGCCGCATCAACAAGAATGGCAGCCTTTGCTGTTAGCGTGGAATCTCTCCTAGCGGCAAACAGGCTCCTTGCTGTTACATGGCTTTGTACCATCGAGGTGACCACGAGTGTCCCCGAATCGTACTCACGGAACCTCGGGAAAATCAAAGGAGTCACTCTTGAATACTCAGACGGTGAGCTACTCGAATATTTAAAAGATTTCGGCGTCATCTATGTTCAGCACAAGATTGCTTACAGACGACAGGATGGCCGCAAAGTCGAAGAACACAAGACTGAGAATGTGATTCTTCATTTCCGTCCGGATCGCCCAATGCCACAGCGTATTTTAATGGATTTCACATCTCACCCTGTAGAGGAATACTTCAACCCACCCATTTAATGCTTTCACTGTCAAAGATATGGGCACATTTCAAAATTCTGCGGTGGTCCACAACGTTGTAAAGTGTGCACTGGGTCGCACAATCACAAAGTGTATACATCTTTGCAAGACCCAAAGTGTGCCAACTGCGAAGGTCCACATCCCTAAAAGTTTGCTGGATGTCAATGCAAGAAGTCCGCGACAAACGAACTCGTGAACGGTAGAGATTACCGAGCAAAGAAACCGAACCCGAATCCAGACATTGTACGTTTTTCAA